GAGAATAACATACATTGCCTCGGCTCGAATCAAATACAAAACAAATAAAATATTTATTGCCAATTTTCTATGTTGTAACAAAGCAATAAAGACAAAAAAGAACAAAACTAAAATTTGTTGATATATTAGTGGAACTTTCTTGCGAAATGTTACATTTATTGAACCACTAAAATCTGCGTGAGCCCCACTTCAAAAAATTCAAATATTATCGGAGAACAGGATTCCCCGATTTAATTTCTGTGTAGATTCTATAGATAAATACTGGTGGGCAATGCGTCGGACTTATATAATAAAAGAGGTAAGGGTCAAATTAGATCAAGAGCGGCTCGAATCAAATACAAAACAATTAAAATATGTATTGCCAATTTTCTATGTTGTAACAAAGCAACAAAGACAAAAAAGAACAAACTAAAATTTGTTGAACTTCCTTGCGAAATGTTACATTTATTGAACCACTAAAATCTGCGTGAGCCCCACTTCAAAATCGCATGCAATTTGATCTGACATCTTTATGGGGTGGACGGCGTGCGTTACCCCATCTGAACGGTAACCCCACTTTTATTTGCGCCCTTGGTTATTTTTCATTTTGGCAATTTGTCGTAGATTACATTCCATACCTCCCCTCGAGTTCATCCCATGTTATTCAACCTTTCCATGTTTAGAATAACAAAAAAAATGTTATTAGGTTTGTTAACTATTTCCATAGTTCTTAAATACAGTGGAACCTCGCTTAACGAGTTTAATTCCTTCCAAAAGTTTTACTCGTATAGTGAAATATATTCAAAAGTAGACAAGTTTTAAAAATGATGTAGCAGACGCGCAATCCGAGACTTCTCTTCTCATCGTCACTCGTTATGCGAAACATTGCTCGTTAAGCGAGGTTCCACTGTATATCTTTAGAAACGTCACAAAATAGAAACATCTCATAATGAATAATATTTATAAAAATATACACGTAATATATTTATATATGTAATAAAATATCTTGTATGTTAACATAATCTTTCTTCAAGGTTTTGCATTATTTATACTAAAGCCTTGTACAGTCCCTTATAAATAAATTTTCTCTTTCTGAATATTAATACAAAATTGATATAGAAATGGAACTAGTAGAACTTCGGAAAAACCAAGGTCAACAACCCTTTGACATATTTAAGTATTTGTTGTTTTTTTGATATATTTTATACTTAGTATTCATTTTGAATTAATGTTAATAGTAATTTGATAACTTATCATTTCAGATTATTTCAAATAGATACGCTGATGTGTCTTATTGATCAAAAAATTGTTGCAGAATTATAAAAAAAATATTATTTTTAAGAAACATTATATTCTACTATATAAAGTATATTAACAAGAATAAGACATATTCAATTAATATCCATTAATCAAATAGAGTACATACATTTAATGTAATCACATGAAATTATACTGCATATCTAATCAATAATTACTGTCGGTATCGCATGTAGACGAATATTAGATAAACGAAAACATTCACTACTCGTAATATATAACTAAGAAATTATATAAGCAAAAGCACTGAAATTGTCAAATGCATTTCCTATTTCCGAGTAAACATGTTGGTTTGGTGTATTAATTGGTTAGAGTGCAAATAGTTGTTGGTGAAAATGAGTAAATTATAAAATGTATAGTCGGTTGCTTCCACGAGTACTTTATACAGGCAGAACGCAGCAGCAGAATATTTTAAGCGTGCAATTTAAACACGAGAACGCTTTGATTTATATTTCCATGTACACTTTCCGAACGTAATTTATTGTTCTTTTTTACTCCTATGTTATAATTACATAAAAGTATATATATGAACATTATTCAATTACTAGATTTTCTGAAACATCCAGATTTCATATGCGTTTTTGGATCCATTCAATCTATAATAGTAGCCGAAAATATCAGTAATTTTAAACGTGAATTCCAGGCACATGGATGAAACCACAGCATTGTGTGAGTGCTCACTGCAATCCCAAAACATCCAGATTTCATATGCATCGAATCTATTATATAATAATATTGAATAAAAAATCAATAATATGTTTTTAAGCAATACCCAAATTTATATATACTATATATTAAAAATTTCATTGAATTATGTTATTATTCAATGTTTTATAGAATATTTAATTAAATCCTTTATAAACTTTATAAACATATTCAAAATTCAATTAAAAGTGTTTTTTTAAAAAGAAATATAACAAGAATGAAACTCAATATGAGGCAATTAATATCGACAATATAAATTCAACAATGTAACAGAACGTTATCCAATTAAAATATTTGTTTATAAAATTAATATCATTGTAACATAGTAATTTTCATTTCTGACTAGTTTTGAAAACTGTTCACGAGTGTATATAAGAAGCGTTTACGGGTGCCCGAAAGTTCTTCGGTATTTGCATAATAAGATAAACATTAGATGGAAACAGGCCACCGTCAACATCATTTTCTATTAGCCAGTTTCACAATTTCGCTTGCATTGAAAACTTGCTATTTTCCACCAAAGTTTGCCGACTTCACGGCTTTCGAGTGAAAGAAAAGGCAAGTATGTTACGCAACCAGACTTCGCAGCTTCCAAGCACAATTACGGCTTCATAAATTTGCAAACATTTCCTCTAAGTTCCATATGTTCATACTAGGGTTTCTACATAAACCGGTTTTTGATACTCATCTATTCTGCGACAGCTTTTTAAACCGGTTTTTTTTTCAGAAATTCGCGAGATATCTTATTCAATATTTTTTTAATTAGCTCCTATGCAAGTAATAAGGCCTGAAAAATAGTAATTTCGAGGTCCAATATATCTGAAAAAGAAAATATCAGCAATTTTTATTTAAAAAAACCGTTATTTTCTAGTTATAAACATTATTTTCAAAACGTAATATTAAAAACCGAGAAACCCTTTCCTTTTAGCTTTTCTTTGAATATAAAGGTATAATAAACATCTGTAAATACGTGAGCCACTTTTTCAATGCACCAAATTAGGAAGGCAAGATTTAACAATGCGAAACAAAATAGATATAAGACCCTTAATTAATACAGAGTGGCCTAACAAAACATTCAATTAACGAGATCGTATTTTTCGTAAAACATTACTTTAGTGGAAATCACTGTGACTTGCATTCCTAATTGCCTTTCCGATTTATAACCCATTTCCTAAAGGTTCTCATTGGCCTTAAGGGGGAGGCGAAATCAATACTCTAACCCTTTAATAAAATCTCTAAATTTATACATGCTTTGAATCATTTGAACATTTCGCATTCTCCGACTAGGATTCGCTTCTACTTCCCTTTTTTTTCGGTTATCTTTTTGCTTAATTTATTATTCACCCTTTTTGAAAAGCATATACCCAAAAATAAAGTAACGGGAAACCAAGGCAATTTATTCGTCCTACTTCAGCGAGAAGAATCAGACGCATAATGAGATGTTCATAAAAGCCAGAAGATGAAAAAAATAGAATGGAAAACGTTAAAAAGGAACCACAACATATTTTTGTTGCAAAATTTTGTGATGTAATAACTTTTTTTCACATATTATTATTAATACAATTATTTTACCTATTTAGAAAATATAATTATTATATAATCATCAGAACCAATTAGTTATAGTCAAATTAATTAGACATTTTTTTTGCAGTGTTATAAAATATTATTTCTATTTAGATTGAACGTTTCAATTATTATAAATAAAAACGAAAATCAAAATATGAGATGTTGCGACGTAAATGATTTCGTGTTGACCAATATAATAAAGTAATTATTTCACGTCATGCACTATTAAAATGGAAATTTGTACAAATATGTGCCTTGTCAGTGCGGAGGAAGCCCGGTTATAATATAAACTTTTCGCAACAAGATATTAATTGCTGCTAGTTTCCAGCATGCTCTTCCCAAACTCGAGTTATTTTCGTCCACTCGTTAATCCTCATTCCGAAGATAATTGTCCTGTTTCTCAATATTAATTATAGATTGGACCGCTGCAGAAAGCCGAAACATCGCCGAAGCTTCGAATAGAATGAAATATAAAAGCGATTCCGTTCCAATTCTTTTCGCAAATCTTGGTCATTTCTCATTCGGTCCGAAACGTTCGCCGCATTTATTTCTTAGAATGCGGATAACATAAAACGTGCACCTGCTTGCAATAATGTTTGACAAATCAATTGTTCGTTTATGCTGAAAGTCGGCAATCATCAACAATTTGTTTCTGTTCTCACCTCTCACTTTAATATACATCATTTTATAAAACGTAATATTTGTAAATTGGTAAATATTAGTGTTATAAATATAGTTTTTTTTACCTAAATTCAAAAAAATGTAACCTAATTAAGTAACACATGCAATGACTGGCAGTAATTAATTAGAGACGTAAAGTCGTTAGTCTTGTGTGTGACATTTTATTTGATAAATGCATTTTCTTTCCTGAAAGATAATTAAAAATTCGTTGAAAGCTGAGTTCTAAAATTAAACACCTGTTTGTTAATTGGAAATTGATAATTTTTGAAGGCTGTAAGTATTGCATACATTGTAAGAATGGAAGTTGTTATAATGTTATCTAGAAACTTGGTGATTATGGGAAGTTAGTAAACGTATTCTGATTTTCTGTAAAGTTAGGTACACACGAATGCGTTATATCCGAAGAGACAATTTCGATTGAATTTGCGAAAGCGACTGAGCGTAAGAATTCTGATATAATGGGGAAAGAAGTTGGAACGCGTCTCGTTATCCTTGAATGCGATTCGTGTCACAATTAAGTTTTTAGCGTATTAAGTTCTTAAGTGTTAATGAAGTCCGTCTGGGCCGAGAGGTTTTTCGCTTTCCGCAAGAAGGCATCCGATTCGAAAACCTGTTCCCCAAGGGTTAACGTCCAAATGGTCGTGTAATAAAATCTCGGCAATGATTAGCGCCGAGCCTGGGACTTTTATACCTCTGTCTCTGTGTGTGCGTTTCTCTATATCTATAATATAATTGTGAACTAGTTGCATCCTCACCTTATGCATCGGAGTTCCCCAAAAGTCATTGTAGAACACGTTGACTAAGGGGGTGTGCGGTCTTAAATCTCTATTATCTTTGATCGCACTGATATCGTCAAACACAAAACCACAATAGCAACTATTGTGGTAGCAAACAACACACGCAAGTACCACGATAGTACTTAGGGCATGCTTCAGTGCCATATTTATATGTTTCGTTTTTAGCAGTTTAATGTAGATCGTTTAATAAATTGCGCACATGGGAACACACACACTGTTTTTAGTATGTCTCATATTATGTTAAAGAAAGAGGATGTTGATGATGAGAATAAACAAAACAAAACAAAACAAAACTCTTTTCGAAAAGTTCGCACGTTTTCGAAGAAGTAACTTTATTGGTTTCGTTCAATTGAGTGGACCATCTGGTTATGCTGCTCACTGGGTCAACGCATTCTAAATTGGACAGTCGAAATAATACAAAAAAAAAGAGGAAAGTAGTGAAACGCTCGTGGCTGTTTGAATAATGTACGTGTGGAGCAGCAGGCACAGCACACGGCGTATCTGCTTGCTTGCTTGCTGTCTCTCTATATATCTATCTCTGCTGTGAGTATAGGTAGTGTATGCCAGTATTGCGGCCCAGACTCCCGAAAGACACGTCTTCACGCCCGTTATTATTCGAGAATACTGAACCAAAAACAGGCTTCATCTCCGGCCCCGAACGCTGCCATACTGCGTCGGTGTGCGGTCACGTGACCTCGCCTCGCTGGTGGCGAACGCTCAGGCGCGGGACACTAGGCTATACATATTCGATATTCCGTGCCCTTCGCAGTTCCGAGCAGTTTCTCCCTTCTAATTCTCACCACAGCGCTTTTTATTTATTTATTTATTTACTTATTCTGCATTACAAAAACACCCTGTTGATGAAAAACGAAGGGCAACTGTCCCGTTGCCATCGCCACGCTCTACCACCTAAGAGAAGAGAACCCTTGCATCACCGCCATCTTGCAGAGAAAAATGTTTAGTGCCTTTAAATGCGTTCCTCGACGGTCTATTTTCGGGGTCGCCCTGATTTTTACCCTCCATTCATCTCTCTCCCTCCCTCACACACTATACCTATCGCTTTTGCTACCCTTGCTTCCTGTTCTTCCATGGGCAGTGGGCCAACTCGAGCAACGCAGTAAACCAGTATTGGTTTTCGCGCGTTATGCTAATGCAATGCATTACAACTTCCCACAACAGTTTAGAAAACTCCTTTAATGGTTTCAGCCCAAATTATTTACTTTTCGCGTGACTGCTTTCATTTCGGTCTCCACCAAAATCCTATGAGCATAATTGGTGTTGCCTACGTATAGTTTAAACACTCTCGTCAATATAAGCCTGATTGATTCAATATCACCATCGCATGGAACTGCCCAGAAATGTTCAAAAACATGAATATAGTTAGTCTACCAACTAAACACTTGCAATAATGTAAAACTATCTTTTACAACAATTTTAAAATTGTTCTTTTATTTTGATTTTAAACTCAATAAAAGATCAATACAGTAATACCACGGCTTCTAACAGTACTTTACTATAGAAAAATTCAAAAAATTCATTGAAGAAAATTAATAATTGCACTTTATTTCGCCTTTCTACCGGACTTTAATAACTTCTCGGCTTGCGAATGCACAAGTAACTTATATTTTGAAACTACTCTACAAAATTGTATAACATAATACAAAGATAACTAGATATAAATTAGAATATGTGTCTTTTGTTATATAATGATCAATTATTTTAGTGAATGTCCATGAGAATTAATTAGCTTAATTTTGTTTGCTTTACGTCCTATTTTAGTTCTTGCTCGGAATAATGTGCTTAAATCCGAACTTCTTCGAGCGGTTTGCAATCCCCGCGTTTTCGTGATGAGATTATAGAAATTATATGCAACTCACGCAGCATCATTTGTACGACTCTCCGCAATAAAGGTTAATCTTAGAATAATTAACATCATTAAATTCGCTCTATGTCTCTGAGGATTATTCAGATTTTATATACCATAAGAAATTGCATTATATAATAATTTATTGTACACATGTTTCTACACACATACACAGTTTTAAAAAGAAAAATATAAACGTTAGCAGATTAGTTATCTGAAGATAAGCATTTATCAACCGACATACACATTATTTTTACGTTTTTGATGTTATTATTTTGTTAATTATTTAACAGATTACAAAAGTTTAGAATTACTTGTTTTTAGAAGTGTTTCAATTGTATTCTTAATCATAAAAATAGTGTAATTTAAGTTTTTTATGTAATCAAAGAGTAAAGTATGTTCTTGAAGAAAATAACATTGCTGCATAAACAATGAAACATTTGCATTTGGTATGAAAACATGATTGTGTGTAGTTTTGAAAAAGTTATCAAAAAACATGAAGCTTTATTTCAATATTTATGCAGCGAACCGGAAATTGAGACGGTGTATTTTATTCCCTGTACTTTAAAAGTGTTGGGTCTTATGGGGTTTCATGCTTTTATGGGTAAATTACTTCGAGGAACTTTCTTTCTCGCAGAAATGAAATTCCGTGTCAACTTTTCTCCTCACTTTACTATACTCCCCAAAACTTTCACCATTGTTGACAATTTTACATCATTTCCGTTTTAATTTATTACTTATGCATTATCAGAGCATAGACAATCAACAATAGAAAAAAAACAATAAATCAATTGAAACTGAAAATAAAAATATTGATTAGGTACACGAAATTGACTTGAGAATATACTTTAGCCTTTTGTAACGAGAAAAAATGAACTTAGACTTAAAACTTTGTGGACGAGCGGCGGATATATTTGCCCTATCATTTACACATGCCACAATGGTGATTCAATGTACGTTTGATATAATGGACTCCAATTAATATATAATTTTTTTACGTGAGGTTCTGAAAATTACATCATTAAAATTAATGGGGAAAAAAATAAATAAATAAAATTAATGTATAAATATTCGAAATTCGTATTTGAAATGAAATAAAATAATAATTATTATATATATTTCTGTATATACACCTGTGTTTAAAATATATTTTATATGAATATATTGATTTGGACTCGTAATAGATGACATTAAAATCGCATTACATTTTATGTCCCATTTGATGCATATTTTTTTTATTATTGTTGCACTGTTCCAAACAATGTTGCTTGTTTTTATTTAAATGTGCATTGTAAATATAAATTTTGTAATTAATAATGGGCAGTTGAACGTTCGCCGATTGGAGCGGGCGAAACGTAACGAATCGATACGGAATATGTAATATAATATTGGCGTTCATTGTGTATTAACAGTTAGTAATTTAATTAACTCTGTTTTAATGGTGATTGCGGACACATCTCTGGACCGTAATAATTTCGTATTATACTTGAGTATCTATACCCCCAAAGTGTTTACGATCACTGATTTTGCTACATCGAGGTTTATTAGTAACGTTTCGGCAAATCCAAGTCTAGATTTGTCTCGTTTTGTTGCAAACGCTTTGTGTGTTTTTTATATTATGTACTTAAATTATGTGAATTATTTATTAAGAAATTACCTGTTTTTCTTGTCAAAATTTACCGGTAAACATATTGGTCAGTAAAACCGGTTATTGAAAAACTAAATAATCGATAGTGAAGTTGAAAAATATTTATTAATATTTATCTGAAATATTTAACGATATTTTCAAGCAATGATAAATTATTAAAATATTCACATCCATCAATAGTTTATATTCTAAACGATATACATTAATTATTCATATTTACCTGAAATTTTAAACTACATTTAGTTTTTATTTGAAAAACTATTTAAATCGATAATAATTCGATAAAGTGTTTTGAATTATTAATTGTATTGATACATGTATTAAGACATTTGAATAATTCTTTATCTATGTCAGATATATAACGTGTTTTTTTGTATGATAGTAATTTTTAAACATTTTTGTAAAAAAAAATATATTATAATTTTATTAATTAATAAAATAATTACTATTTCCATTAATACACGTTAAGTATTTATAAATGTAGTAGCAATTTGCAGCTACTATTCGTATGTGTTTCGATGAATCACAGCTGCAGGTGCGTACATATAAACAAATTCATATTTGGGCACGAAAAAAGTACAGTGAGAACACCTGCATTATTTATAGATAAGAAAATAATACAAATTAGGCAATTGTTTAAATAATCTTTCGGAAACACGAAACATCGCGAATCGTTACGAAGCTGCATCTGCGTATCTCAAACGTTGGACACATTTTTATGCGTTTCGATTCGAATTTGTTGAAATGAGCGTAAATTATTTTACATTTTTTTTTTTTTTTTAAATACAATTATTTGTTAATAACACATTTTTTTCTATACATTACACTCATTTATTATAGAATTACAAATATAAAATTATAAACTATTTAAATTTAAACAATTACTTAGTAACCAATATTTGCCAAGTAGCTTATATAAACATAAATGAATAATACTGGGAACTTGTCAAATAATTTTACATCAATTTTAGCAAATATTATATAATCAAAAAGATAAATATAAAATAAAATAGTAAAATATTTTAATTATTTAATTTATTTTAATATTTATTTTATTTATTTACGTAAAAATGAAATAGTAAACTTTAAGAAAATAGTAACTATTTTAATTCTTTAGTAATTATAAATAATTTCTTGTATTTACGGATTATTAAAATTCATAGAAATTTGACGATAAAACTTTGCACACACCTGGGTTTCGATGAATCACAGCTGCAGGTGCGTACGTATAAACAAATCCATATTTGGGCACGAAAAGAGTGCAGTGTGAACACCTGCATTATTTAAACAATCGTTCGGAAATGCGAAACATCTCGAATCATCACGAAGCTGCACCTGCGTATCTCAAACGTTAAACATATATTTATATTCGCATGAAGAGTGCTGCATTTCGATTCGAATTTGTTG